TCTTTTAAAAGCTTGAAGCTCAGTAGATTGTGTCATATCGGTCATTGCTAAAACAGTCTTTGTTTTGATGCTACTTTTCGTCACAGGAAAAGTATGTCGGACAATAATATTCACCAAAAAAAATTAATTTTTTTGCCAGCTTCAATAATGCCAGGGCATAAAGTTTAGATGATAAAACAAAGGATTATGTTGATAGAAATGCCAGAAGTCGAGTGGAATCGTTACACGAGCTCACACAACTCAGGTAATATTCACGGTAAAAATTTGTGTATTTGAGCGGTCGAACGAAAAAAGTCAGTTCTCGAAAACTAAAATATATTTTCACAAAAAAATTCCTTAGATGTTTTTTTAGGATAAGTGGTTGTGGCTATGGTTATTGTGATTATTCTGTGATTGGTGGATTTGGCTGAATGGATTAAGTATGATTGGCTGCTTCAACTGTCGGACTACAGGTGTCCGATTATAGCCAACGGTCCGACTACATTGTCCGATTACAGCTGCACAGAATGATTTGTGAAAAATAAAGCAGCTAATGCACCAATCAAATTTGAGGAATTGTAATGGTTATGAATGCAATATTGTGCATTTGGTTATTTTGTACTCTAAAAAAAAAGACCTTTAAACCTAAAGCGTACGCTGCACTTCTCTATCCGCTCTACTTTTCCCACCTATTTTCAATCTGGGTAACTCTGGTTGTCTGAGTCTAAGTAAAATCTAAACTACATGCATATAAATTCGCTATCGCTAGGCAGGAGTGGGCTTGCTGGTCAACTGACCATGGAAGATCCAACTTTTGATTCCAGAACACTAACCCAGACACTTTTACGAGAATCTCACAAATGAACAACGACGTAGTTAATGTTTCCGAACAACTGAATCAATCTTCGACTGCATAAATCAAAATAAGAACTTTCGAGTGGGTTCATATCAAGTTCAGAAGACAAATTAAGCACGTTCACTGCCGGAAGTTAGACAAGACAGTCACAAATATTAATCACATGGGAACTCATCGTGGCAGCTTACTCCTAAATATCTTCGGGCTTTGAATTCATATAGTAACTACAAAAGTACAAGCTAAATATAAACTAATGACGAAATCATACTTAACAAACTTAAGACTCTATGACGATATTAATATTCCTACTGATGCTTTGGTTACCTCGTATGAACCTCCTTGAGCTTAATTAAATGAAGTGAGCTAATAATAATTTCTTTTTCACTTCTCAGAAATCTCATAAATTTCAACTAAAAGTACTGCATGCAGAGGGAATCCGCTTCATTACTCTTAAGGTGAATGCCGTAAATTAGTTCCCACTCGATAACGTGACACGAAGAAATCAAGGTCAGCTCCATAACGACAATTATGCAAAGATTTTAAGTTTCTAGCACAATCATTCATAACTGAAATATT